GATTGCCTTTCTTTCTACCCTAACTGCTTTTTATCCATATAAATACTATTAAAACTACGTGGAAAATCATACCTTTAAACTTAATATAATTGCTAGCTATTTTATACATATAAAAATCTGAACTGCACAAAACTCCTTTTCATGTAGCTGTTTGCATAGCTGTATTCGAAATAAATTTTGTATTCTTTTGTGTTCTTTAATCTATTGTTTAGAGAAACTGGTGTTTCATTTCACAGTTAAAAGAACTTAACTACTTGAATCATGGAGACATGAAAGGCAAGGGAAGGAAAGAAAATATCTCTCATTTTAAACTCTTCTTCCACAAGCTAATTTGATAGTATGAAAGTACAGAAATCTGAAATCTACTTCTGAACATTTGAGACTTCACATCTTTTTACCTCTGTCTCAAGAGATATTACTCAGGTTTAGCGTGACATTTTGAAATGTCACCACCCCTGTCTTGAAACCAGAAGATTGAATGCAGAATAGACACCTACCTGCTTTAATTCAGAAATCTATTCTATATGTGATGCAATATTCTAGGAACCTCTGTGCCTACCCTTTCTCATCCTAAGGAAAGAAAAAAAATAATCACTTCAGGAATCTCTTTCTCATCAAAATAAACAGGTATTGCTAAAATCAATGGCTAAAGTAACTTTCCAAAAGCATTATTCTCAAACAGCCACAAATTTTGAATAAAAAATATTCTGAGGAGAAAATATTTTCCCCTAAAATACACTTGCCACATAAAGAAAAGAACACTATTTTCTGAGTAAAGATGGAAAAAGCGGTAATACTTGTCAGAGATCCACTCAGCCTCCACTTTTCATCCATTTTCAGTACCAGAACGGCACGCACAGAAGCCCTCACGATCACTAACATGGTTCTCTTTCTGGCATAATTTGATAATCATCAATGTTAATATTAGTTATGCAAGTATGTAATCAGCTTTAATATCTACATATAAATAATAATACATTCTGTATATGCACAAAATATGAATAAATACATTCTGCAAGCTACTGCTCAATTTGCAAGCAAACTAACATTGAGGTTCTTTGGGGAGTTTAAAATCATCACATGAAAAATGTTCCATTTGGAAAGTACTTATGAAAGGGATTAATCTGTCTTTTTCTTGTCCAGTCCCTTGATTTGGTATATTATCACCGGCAAGCTGTGAAATTTGTGTAAAACATTCTCTAAAGTAAATAGTCATTTTTTAGCTGTAACTTCTTCTAAAAGTGTGCTAATACACTTGTACAGCCAAGATGCAGATCTTCCTAAATACTGAAACTTAAAAAAAGCCTACTATGCAAAAACTATATACTTCCCCTACCATATTTCCTGCCTCTGAGCAAAAAGAGGTTGCGTTGCTTACTTCCTTGGCTAAAAGATCTCAAATATTTCTCTTTGGATCCCATTTTGGCAGCGTAATTTGAAATCACCTCCTCCCACACAGATCATCAGAATACACACATCAATCAGATATGTCATCTAAAATGTCTCTGTTGTTTTCTCAGTCTTAAATCTCTTGTTGATTCTACTTGCCACCCTGATGTCTCTGGCATTGGGGCTCGCTTCCCTCAGGTGCAGTGGATCCAGGGCTCTACTCCTTCAGCTTTAACTGCTGTGTAGGTGGTGAGGAGCACTTGGAAAGGTCCCTTCCTCTTCTCCTGAAGAGGATCCAAACCCCACGTCTTTATGTACACAAGGTGTCCTGGTTGAGAGCGATGAGCAGGGGTGCCCAGTGCAAGTGGACTGTCTGTTGTCGGAGAGCAGCAATAACTTTGCCTAGAGAAATCAGATACAACTTCAGATCTGTTTTTCCCTTAACTTTTGCATTTCCCCAGAAATCAGTGGTGCTTGATAAGGATACAAATAATACTGGAAGTGATTGATGATCAGGAGTCCTCAGCAGCTGATCTGGCTGTCAGAGCAGAACAGGCAGTGAAAGGACTTTCCCAAGCACTAAGCCCGATGAGTGCTATTGGAAGCAGCCACCTCTTACGCTTCTCATAGCAGCACCTTTGTACTGGCTTGCTCCACAGCTCCCAAAACCCTTAGTGGAGAAATAACTGGGTTTGAAGTAGCTCAACAGTTTTCCTTTCCATACATTTATTAATGGCTAGTTCATGCTGCATGTTCCTGTGCCTGATATGTCATTAAGATTTAATATTTCATCATGTTCCTGCAAGATTTCCCAATCACGCTGATACACATAGCCAGCAGGATTTGCATTTCTGCTACTAAGGCAGCACAGTCCCTATACCAGCCCCAATCTCTCCTTCCCCCACAGAGACACCCAGACCCACCCCCCAGTACCCCACATGAGAAGCACTGCCCCTGCAGCCAAACACTTCCCCCACTTTTCTGAATTTTCTGTACCTAATGGGAGCCCAGGATCACAGGTGGTTTAGCAGCATAACACACCACTGCACAACCCTGCTCATTCTCCAGCAGAAACCCTTCTCCTTCATCCCTGTGCCCACTCTGAGAGTTCATTTCATCATCTTTGCCCATTCTCCACCTGTCAGGGTTACAAGGCCTTTCAGATGTCCAGTTTACATTCTTACCAGTACAAATTTATTTGACGTAGGATGCTCCTTCCCCCCTGCCCCGCCCCCCAGAGAATTAATGGAAATTAATGTAAAACTAAAATAACCAATGTTCTAGCACTTACTGGAAGGGCATCGCCTTGTGTACCGACTGACAGCAGGCTGAGTGACAGCCAGTGTTATCAAAGAATTCGAAAAATCACTTTCTTCACTGAACATTCAAAAATCGAGGTAGCCCTTGCCAAACAACATGAAATACACTGAAGACAGCAACAAGCTCTGTATTCTGCTCTTTGTAAAACTACGATTTAACTTGCTCACCAGATACACTCCTCTAAATTTAGGATTTAATGTGCGTGCACGTATTGAGCACTTTTCCTTGTTACTGAAATTAATTTAGAGAGCACTATGTTAAATTCTGACCAATTTAGGCCAAATCTGTTTTTTTCCAGAAGTTACAGCATTTCAAAGTAAATAGAAGTATTTAATTAAGCCACAACACACCTGTTACTACTGTTATTCACATACTAAATAAAAGAAACTACAAAAATGTGATTTAAATCAGGTAAAGCAAAGATGCCACTACATTTATGTGATGTGCTTTTGTTTAGATACAGCACACCCAAGGAGCTCTTAAAGAAGTTCCTACTTATTAATTATTTATGTTTTTATCACTCCACGGCAAAGATCCTTTAGCTAGAAATAAAGACAGACTCAAACTTTGGTTTATTTTTTTAATAAAGTTTAAATAGTCAAAATAAGAGGAAAGAGTATGTTTTAAAGCCATGCTATTTCTTTGTTCCATGCTAGGCCTTAAAAGTTGGATTCACTGCAAACACGGGCCATGAGAAGAGAGCCGACTCCTTAAAATGCTGGTGTAGAAGATATTAAAATAGTGACTTACTCCATCTTACCTTAAAACAAGGGAAACACAATCCTCACAGTTTTTTAAATGTACTGCCTCTTATCCTGATTGATGGAAAAATTATCCCTACAAAAGGTGACCTTTTTTTAAATACGGAGACTCTACAAAATATTTGCTTTACCCTTTGGCAGGACTTTGAAATTCTCCAGAATATTTAGATGTGTCTGCCTAAGGAAGTTTATAAATGCCAATCCAACGCTCTTAACAAAAATTCCAAACAGAACTGGGAATTAGAACAACTCAACCAAATCATCCCACTATAAGAATATTATATTTCAATTCTGCATAAACAGAGATCAGCATGGTTTGTTTTGTTTTAAAAATTCCTCATGACCCACAGAAAACGTTTATTTCATTATTACCTTTTCCCATCCATTTCCTTAATGCTACTTCCTCATTTACATCTAAAACGCAATCTAATTTGTCTACTGACTTTTTCTGCCCTTAGGGCTTTTTTAAGCCTCCATTCTATCCTCACCCAAGGAGATCCTTCTTTCCCTCTTGCTTCTTAAAGAGGTTTTTGTTTGTTTGATTGAGCTGCATTTTCTTTTTCGGACACAGGTAAGTATCCTACCATAAAGGGAGCACAGAAACAAAGCAGAAAGGGAACAGCACTGGGAGTTACCGGGACACTTGCAAGCCAAGACTTTGAGTAGGAACTTCAACGACGACTATTTTTTAAAGAAAAGTGTCATGCTTTCTTTATATTTGATAATATTTGACATATTTGATAATATGCCTACTATAAACACAGTCTTGTGCCACAAACTGCAGACAAAGCAATACAGCACACAATTTGATGAATTCAGCATAACAAAAAAAAATGGTAGAGTCCTAGTAGCAGCTGCAATGGTAACAAATATTTAGAAACCAAAACGATCCAATAACCTAAAAATATATCTGCTAAACTAAAGAAAAATCTGTGCAATGAGAATAGAAGCTTCCAAATTTCAGACTGATTGCTCACGGACCGCAGTAGAAAACTAAACTCAGATGTAAGGAAGTATTAGCTTGAAAAGCCTCAGCTTTCCAAAGTCCAAAATTATTAAAAAGCAATGCATCTGTTCATCATTCTATGATGTAACAGTTTTCTAGTCTGTGGGAATAAGCAGCAGTATACAATCGTTTGCAACATCAGTTTACTTTTTTTTATTAACTTTTAAAACTAAATTAAGAAAATATTCTTACAGAAAAAAAATTTAGATGAGCACAAAGAAATGCCATTATAAATCCTGAGACAAATTATCCTACATCATTGCTAGTCTATGAAAACTGGTTTGAATAATAAACATACTGGAGTATTCAGTGACAGCATACAAATCGAAAGTATTTGTAAATTATTAAGCTGTGCATGTTTTTAAATGACAAAACATGCTTACGGGTTTACTTTAAAATCTCTCACTGCTTGTCAAAGTTAAAAGATCATTTGCATACCAATACACATACTGTAAACATGAACTTCTCATTAGGG